AGGCCTCAGTTAGTCTAAAGAATTTTTTAACCCCTAACTCATTCTTGTAAACAAGTCCAAGTTCGGGTTGAGTTAGGACTGAGGCGGATCTTTTCTCCTGCAGGCCTTGGAAGTCTTCGTTTGGTGGAGTGCAAGATAGTCTTTCAATGCCTAGCCGAAGAGCAATTTCAAAATCACTCTTGGCTCTTTGGTTCACTAGGGTTTCCATCGTTTTTACTACCGCTCGATTCGCCATTCCATACCTGATGCCGTGGTCGTGCCTTTGAGCCGTGTATGCGTATAATTCAATCAAGTCATATGGATTGAGATTAATGAGGTCATTTTCGTTGAACACGCAAATTTGCCCCATGTGCTTTCTCCACAGTGAACTCGATGTATCGAATGGCTCTGTTGGCAAATGTCCTTACTTTCAGATCCATGACCCTCCTTATCCCATCATTCGAGAAGACAGCCTGAGGTGCTTGTGTGGTCTTTCTAATGAATCAATGGTGTAAGAGGTCCATTGACTCAGGCGATAAAATCGAAGGGTTGATGGTCAAACTTTCATCACGGTCTTGGTACAGGTATTGATGGATGTTTTCCATCATAATTGGTTCCCTGGGTGGCAATTCAGGATGTCTCCGCATCGACTCCTATCACACCCCGCTAAAGCGGAAACGCGAGGTATGGCAGGTAGAGTCTCATAGCAATAGTGTATAAACAACACAACCATACAATTTAAAATATAGTTACATCAAAACTAAAGTTTACAGTCCCAAATACAAATTTACAAAATAAACATAAAMGTAGTTTTGAAATCGATAAATGTGACACGTCTTCTAACAAGTGTCMCTGTGAGTCTTTCTTACCCTGAAAAAGCATGTCAAACAAGTGTCAACTACAAGAGTTGGTGAGTTCACAGGTTTTATATGCACAAAACAATTTTAAATGTAGCAATCCCAAATATAAATTTATGAGCAATATCTTAAAAACAACGTCATACACATGATATAAATTTGTTGAGCCACTACTAAACCTACAAGTGCCCCACGAACTACCTCAGAGGTGGTAGCGAACCACATGTGTAGAACATACTTACGAACTACCTCAGAGGTGAGACTAAACCCCACATGTGTAGAACTCATGCCGAACTACCTCAATGGTGGGACTAACCCCACATGAGTAGAACTCCTTCCGGACTACCTCAGTGGTGACCACTTCGTGCCACATGTGTGGAGCAAATTAAAATGACCAAGTGCACCCCTACTCGTCAGTAACAAGGTGGGTATAACAACCAAATAGCGCTATCCACAAGAATCATGGGTTCAAAAATTAATTAATAGTAGTGGAAATAACGGGGACTTTCAATCTCAACATATCAATAGTGTATACAATTAAATGTTCCTAACAAGATTCATATATCGATATAAATCTATCAAACATTCATTAACCATGCTTTTCACCCAAAAACGAGAAATTAGTAAAAAGGGGCCGTGAAACTCACTTTTGATATATAGGTCCGCAAAGAAAAAGCAATACGATCCGAATACCACGCTAAATCAACCATTCCCTATCAATAGGAATATCCAAAACCATCACTTCTTGATTTATCTCTACCTATGGGGTTTAATAAATC